AGTGAGTTTGGGAAGAGAGTGATGTGTGTATATGTGTAGTTTCTTGTTCCTAGTAGTAAGGCCAGGAGCGCCCCGTTCGTAGCGTCCGATCGCTCCGATCGTAGCGATGCCCTTTGTCACGTTCGTAGCGTCCTCTTGTTCCTATAGTATGTTTTTCCCAGTTTTGCAGTGGGCTTCTCCCACCTTGAATTTCATGGGCCTACAAGACTGTTGCCAACTTGCCGGTGGCACGCAGACTGAGCCAAAGGTGTCAAAGGAGGATGAGGCAGATTCTGTTTTTGTTCCTCCAAAGTAACATAGAAAGAGACAAAAAACAGTCTCACGGAGTCTTCTTTCATCCAACCGGTTTAGGGCGTCACACCCTGCAACTGTAGACCCAACACCTCTTGAGCACTCGGCTTGTTTCCGGAATCCTTCAGGACGAGGTTTTCACCGACTCATGGTGTTCCGCTTTGGGTCGTCGTGTTCAGGTCGTCATGTTTGACCACTTTGTTTCGACCGAGCACTCGGTTTTGAGCATCGAGTCGGTGGTCGGTTGTCAGCCCTGATGACAGACCAAGCTGGCACTCCACTAAAGCGCTAAAAAAAGCCATAGATGGGATATGATGGGATCTAAAGCTCCTTGATAGGCGACTAGGGGCTCCTGGCATCGCTACTAGGAGCAAGTAGTGTCTTAAAAACCCTGGAACAAAGGTAGGAACTTTGATCCGTCACCGTAGGAAGCAGATCTTTGCAGTCGGACCCATCTGCAGGAAATTGCTCCATGGTGTTCGTGCTTCTTTCAACGACAGGGGGGTTCCTCCAGGGTGTAACTCAGCATAGAATGACCCCCATATAATATGTTAGAAATTATAGAACCGAATATGTTATTTAAAACATGCGAGATCAAAAGAAAGTACAAGGTCCTTTTAGCATAGTACAATGCTTCTTTGATATAGCCTCATTGAAGACCCTGCCTTTACGCATCTCTACACTGTACCATCGTGTTTTAAGCATTGGAAGTCCGATCCAGTCGTTTCGGACCCAGTGGCCATCCGAAGGGCGAAGTCAGCTCATTGAAGGCATAACGTTTTAGCTCAAATCTCCAAAACCAAGGCTCTTGGAACATGATACCTGATATTACCTGATTATTATGTGACTCGATCACGTAATAAGGTCATTCTTCTTATTCATGTCCTCTTCGATGCACGGTTGAGGCAGACGCACAATCTGGAAACTCTTCCCAGCCAAGGGCACAGATCCCCGGTGTGTTACAGCCTCGCACTTCGCCAGGACCTCTACGAATTCTGACGGATTTGGTGAGCTCGGAGTTCTCGCTTTCTGGCTTTGACAGAACCGATCACGGTTGATGGAAGATGCAGACCGTGGATCTTGTCTCCCAACATCTAGATGCTCGATGGGCTGAGAAGTGGATGTTTCGTCAACGAAAAATCATGTTTGAATCTGGTGGTGGTGACCGGGGATGTTTTCTGAGTGCTTTTCTTTTGACGTACTGCATATCCAACCTACTTTGTAATCACTTGATTCACAGCGTGGCACAAAACGGCCTAAACGGGCGCTTCCATCAACCGCCTGAGGACTGAATCTTAGTCGGCAAACGAACCCTTTGCTGAAGAGTCGACCACGTGGCATTGCAGGTCTACGGTCTACTCGTCTGGGATCGTACCACGTGCTGAGTCAGCTCTCTTCGTTGAGTCAGGTGTCTTGCAAGGCCCCCTCAAATAGATGAACATGAACATGTCGTGGCGAAGACAAAGAGAAATCCAAAGGCAGCGGTGCCTTCTTCCGATTCCCACGGTCCAAGTCCGTCCCGGTCCGAGTAAGTCAGATCCCCGAGGAAGGAAGACGGACGATCTCCGGCTGTCTCCGGTCTCTGGAGACCGCGTAGAGTTGGATATGTCGATCAGATATGTCGATGGCTGTGTTCCACACATCGCCCACCGGTTTCGGTGGCAAGCCGATGTCTGTGAATCTTTTTGTTTTCACTTGGTTATAAGGATACCAAGGACATCCAAGGACTTACACACCTGTAAAGAAAGAGAAAGAAAGAGCTGCCGCAACTCGATCGTTGACGCCCGAACTTTTGTTGTCGAGCAGTCCACCACCCCAGTTGAACAGGATAGTATCGAGTCCTTCAGGGGAGGGTCCGTTCACCGAGATGGGCATCGATTCTGAAGTTTCGGTGCATCAATTGGGTGCTGAAGCGGTGTGGAATCTAAGCCGTGATGCTGCAACGATGCGGCCGTGATGCCATCAAAAGCCATGACCAACCAGATATGATATGAGGCCCTTTGAAGGAGACCTTATATCAAAGACACCCTTACTTGCAATTACCTTTCCACACCGAGTCATTTGCTGAGTCATTTGGGTGTGGTCAGAAACCACAGCCGGAGACTGCGTCGATGAAAGATTCGCGAGTCTTTCGAGCCATACCGGAAGATGGGTCATCCGCCAGGAAACTCGTGGCAAAATGTCAACTTCACCTCACTGTCAGACTGTGTCCCAAGTATTCTTATATTAGCTTGCATTTGCATGTTCTCCCTTTCTTTGTCTATATATATATATTATGATTTCGATGTTGGTTAGGTCTCTTGAGGCCTTTCAACCTTTTGTTTGTTCTTTGTGTTCTTACTTTCTTTCTTGCAAACTTCCAACCACCCTCGTCATTTGGACGAAACTTCTAAATTTGGTTGCAAATAAAGTTTGCAGAACGAAGGTGAACAACATCAACAGATCCTATGAGGAGAACATGTTGGGCAGCTTGTTCCATCCGAGTTGACAGCTTGGCGGCCCATGTTAAATCGTTTGCACGCGCAGGAAAGGCCTAAGGCTTGTCACACATTTGCTGAAGCAAAAGGGACCCATTGCGAAGCGCAGGGTGCTCGCATTCTGGAACTGGAGAGATCGAAACCCAAGACTGGTGCAACCCCAACAGCGGCTCCAGACCCTAGTAGCGTCCTCTTGTTCCTCGTAGTAAGGCCAGGAGCCCCCGTTCGTAGCGTCCTTGCTACTAGTTTCTTTTGATTGCCCAAAAAAAGGAAGGAGTTCTAATAGCTTCTTGTTACTACTAGTAAGGCACTTGTTACTAGAAGCGTGGCACTTGTTCCTAGTAAAAAGAAAGGAAGGAGTTCTTTTCCAGGTGCCTTTTCGCTTCTTCGGCATTCTCCGGTTTGGTCGGAGAGCCAGCTCCTTTCGAAGGCGAGCTGGTTCGATCCCGGTCCGGTTCCAGATCGCTGGGATTTGTGAAAATTGTGTCGGGAATTGCTGGGCAAAATGATCTTGCAAATGCTTGCAACTTACTTGCTGTTGATAAACACAGTCTTGCAAGTAGTCCTGCCCTGCACTATCTTGCGTCCTCAAATCAGAGGCGTCCTCCTTGTTTTTTTTCCAGTGAATGTCTATCCATCTCAAGAGTAGGTCCAAAATTTGTTCAGGATAAGCACAGTGAAGGTTCCAGCTCAGCACCACCTTTGAACCAAATCGTCAGAGCCCTGGGTGGCTTCGTCTGGCTGTTTCTTCGTTCTTCGCTTCAACAGTTCGACCGGTCAACGGCCCCGTTCAACTCGGTGCAGGTCGGATCTCGTTGAGCTAGCCGGGCGAAACGGCAAGATCACACAGACCAATATGTGCATGTTGCAGCGAAAATGAAGGCTCCAAAGGGACCATCAAAGCACAAACAGCATCTCCAAAATCACGAAAACACGTGCAGCACACGGCTGAGATCAATTGGAATCCAATATGTTTTTGACATATCTAAGAACCACCTTCCGGACCCTTTTCATGGCCGGCAACAGGTTCCCACAAAAAACCCGACAGGAAATTCAAACCCAAAAGGAGAGAGTCTCAGTGATTCTTCCCGTGTTTCTAAAACCCGTGCGCCAACGTGCAGATTCGGAGGTGCACCGCAACCCCAATCAGTCGGTCCACAGCGGTCCGAGTAGGAACAGCGACGCAAGCCGCTCCGACCCGCGATAGTTGTCCCTGCGCTTTCGCAACGAAGACCCATCAGGCCGGGAAGTAATATGAAGATTTGGATAAACCTAACTACGAGCTTCTTGCTCCTAGTAGCGATGCCCTTTGCTCCTAGTGGCGTCCTTGCTCCTAGTAGCGATGCCCTTTAATACATAAAGATTGATTTACTATAAATATAGAATATATAGATTAATAAACCTAATAGCAATGGCCTCCAACCTAATAGCGATGGCCTCCCCCCGACATGTTTTCCTCATAGATGCCCGATTTGCATCACAGGTTTCTTGTCGAATGTGAGTCTTGCAATACAAGCGTTTGACTCGTTGCACTCTGAGTCACGGTTCGATGCTACAATGAGCTTTGAAGCCAAATTACCCAAATCATATTGGAGCCCATCGCTATTAGGGTGGAGGCCATCGCTTCTAGGTTGGAGGCCATTGCTACTGGTTTATTAAACTATAATTAGATGCTATTATTGTATATAATTTATATAATAGCTAATATACTTTATGTTAGGTTTATCCAAATCTTGGCCCCAAGTGTCGCAGAGTGAGAATTAGTTAGATAGAGTCAAATCCCCGCGCGGAGCCTCGTTCAGGTGCGTCCCTCGTTCCATGGATGGCCCGGGCCGCTCAGCGCGGCCGCTCCAGGTTCGGCAACCCACCTGGAACTGGTGGTTTTATTAATTAGCTTTTTGATCTATGAGGGATAGAGAAAGATGGCAAGAGAAGGATGGCTAGAAGAGATTGGGAAGATCTGTTGTTGGGAACATCTAGGCCTGTAGATATCACAGTTGACCATCAATTTGAAGCATATAGTTTTAGCATCCCTCCGAATTGAAAGACTTGACAGCCATTTTAAGGATCATTTCGACCTTCGATCCACGTGTTTGTCTGAAAGAGCGATGGCCTCCAACCTCGCTATCGGACATCCTCGCTTCACAGCCATCCTGCGGAGACGTGGACGCGCCGACCACGCGACCACTCGTGAAGACTCAGGCGACACGTGACGGATTCCAGCCATGCCTCATGGACACCGGGGCACCCGTGCCCATGCCACATTGGGAAAGGCGTGGGTCAGAAAAGACAGGTCTAGAAGGAGGCGCAATGCCTGAAAGACATGCTAGATGCCACAATTTGGATACTATATACATATAGTCAAATCCTAAAACACATGCATAACATGTCAATTCCAACTCCATCAGTAACCGGGCAAACCAACGAAAACTAAGAATAGATTAAATCACCGAGAATCTCCTGTGCTTCGGCTTCTTGGGATGCCACCCGGATCGAACCAGCGTCCGGGACGATCGCCCGAAAAAGACATTCGCTCCGGTCACGACTTCAGCCGAGCGGAGAAGACCCCACTCGTCTTCGTGCCGTCGATAGTCAGTGTGGGCCGACACGAGTGTTGGTACCAGGGTTGGGTCCCATGGACCAGATGTACCCGGATGATCTGCTCCCCGGATGGATCCGGATTTGATGAATTGAAGGGATTAGAGTCGGATTCAGCTACCTAGTAGCCCTAGTAGCGTCCTTGTTCCTATAGTAGTAAGGCCAGGAGCCCCGTTCGTAGCGTCCGATCGCTCGAAATGCTCCGTTCGTAGGTGAGATTCAGCTACAAAAGATGGTCCACGACATTCCTCAGTTGTTTCACTGACCTCGGTGCCAGGAACCTCGTCATCGTGGCTCTGGTGGTGCACGTCATGGACGTGGGTTCGGGGACCGGAGGGTGTTGTGGATGGATGGAGTCTCTGGAAGATGTAACTGCAGGTTTTTGTGGACCGTTAGGCAGGGAGAAGATGGAAGATGGAAGATGCAAGCATGGGGGGCGTCTTTGGGGCATGGGGGATGTAAGTGTTCGGATCTGCAACTGTCCTGCAAGATGCATTGGAATACCTAGAGCCAGCTGGTCTTGACCCATGGAGTTGAGAAAAAAGGCATCGCTTCGCTGGTCTTGGTCTATATTCCCCTTGGGGTTTTGGGAGAATTCGGCAACGAGAAGCATGGGAAGAGACCTTCATCGGAGGCCAGTCGCCTTCATCGCACCCTGAACTCGGTCCGACCATCGAGCGCCAACTGCCAGCCACCCGACAGGAACTGCCAGACTCCCCTGTTTCTGTGGTTGATTTGACGAATGTTCACTTCGCAAGAAAGGAGGGTGCAAAACATGGAAACTGCCAGGGTTTGGAAGAGGACTTTCGCCAAAGCCGTTCAAGCCAGTTTCTACAGCCTGAAAGAGGAGATTTAAGCAGCTACCAGCACCCTCCAACAGATCTTCTCAAAAGCTGGCAGAAGTGGTAACCTGTGAAGTCGGTTGTTACAACGGAACCATTGACCCTTGGAACTCTAGGTCGATCTACACCTCATCACACCGTCCCATCCCCCCCCTATACCAAAAAAACCTCTCCTCTCCCAGCGTCTCTCTCCGTCTCGACCAGACCGAAGAGGCCTGGACTTGTGTGTGGCGGCCTTGTTCGTGGCCCACGCCGAGCCCGGGGCCGAAGCCAACACATCGAGGGCTCGGGCTCGGCGACGTCGGCGAGGGCAAGCCCCTCTTTTTTCAGGTGAGGAACATGGACGGCTCATGGAAGGTGAAGTTCTTGCGATGGACTGAATTGTGCAATTGAGATGTTTCCCTTGTTTGTGCAATTGAGCATGTGACATGTTCCACTTCGACGTTCGGTTGTAGACGTCTTACGGCTCTGAGCAGTACCTTCCCCACTGACACTCGCTCAGGTGGGTCTTCTTCCTAGGCACCAAGACCCGTCGCGATTTGGGCAGTGTTGGGAAACACCGTCCTGCAATGACCGTCCTCCAGTCCGCACTCCAGCAGTCCGTTCCTTCACCACACTCCGCACTCCGCACTCCGGTACGTCCGTCCTGGAACTCGGTGGAACTCCACCGGTCCGGTCGTGGCGTCCGAGACCGTTTGGTTCGCCACCTGGCGGTCCCTTCGAGTGTCGGGTGATGCAACTTGGACCATGCGACAGGACCTGGGGGACCCTAAACCATCCATGCGCAGACGCACCTTTCTACTGAGAAATTCAGGACGCTACGAACGGGGTTCCTGGCCGTACGACGAACGGAGCGATCGGACGCGACTCGAACGGAGCTTTGCTTCGGAAAACCATTTGGTTAAGGTTCGCTAGTAGTAACAAGTGCCACGCTAGTAGTAACAGGTGCCTTACTAGTAGTAACAAGAAGCTACTAGAAACAAGTGCCACGCTAGTAGTAACAAGTGCCACGCTAGTAGTAACAGGTGCCTTACTAGTAGTAACAAGGTTCGCTATGGGTCTTCGGTTCTCGCCACCGGGACAGATGCGCCAGGGATCCTCATGTGTGGTCGACGAGTCGACGGGTGAGGAGCATCGAGTCTTCCTCGTCGTTCTTCCACCCAGTCCATCATGTCCATCCCAGTCCCACGCTTGCGGGTGTGGCTTCTCACTGTTTCTCTGTTTTTTTTTTGCACCTTGGTGAGACTTTGGACGGTTTGTTTTGTTGTTTTGTTTAACTTGTGTTTTTTTCGGAAAAAAGAAGAAAAGACAAAACAGATGGCCCACCAAGCATAAATCCTCATAACCTCTCTTCATGGATAACTGACTTTGCACCTCTTCAAACCAAGTGGCAGATCGAGCGCGGTCTGAGCGCGGTCACGGCAGGTGCAGCCGGAGTCATCTTCTGGGCGTGGTTGGTGCTGCTCTTAGTTTTGTGGAAAAAGTCCATGCTTCGAGCACTCGAATCAGTGCTTTCCCCTGCACTCTTTGAATTGAAAAGAGGCTCAACAAACAACAACGCTCTGAGTGAAACATCCAAACGGACGTCTCTGGCATGAAGCAGAATGGACAACACGCGTGTCTCAGCTGGTTCCCTCCGCGAATTTCCACCCACCGGGCGCAGACGCTTTGATCAAAGGCTGGGCGAGTAGGCTGGAGCGACCGTCGATTCATCGAAAGACATCACCACAGTCAGACCAAGGGGGACCGAAGATGAAGGAACACGCAGCTGGTGAGAACAAAGCATCACTGCCGAGTGATTTTGGGTGTCGGTTTATCTCAGCACAGATCGGAAGCGATTTCGATCAAGGCGAAGGGAGATCAGCATGGTAGATGAATGTAATTCTGAAATCTAATTCTTGTTTCTACTATAGCTTCTGGTTACTCGTAGTAAGGCACTTGTTACTAGAAGCGATGCACGTAAGTTACTAGTAGCGCGGTCGATCAGTGTGTTTCGGGGGTTGGGGGATCCGAAGCCAAGTGCATGATCGCCCCACTGATCGCCCCTAGACCACCCCTCCAAGTGCCCCAACGAGCCCCAACGACCACTCAGATGTTGGAAGACAGATGCAGCTGCAGTGCCTTGCCAGCCCCCAACGACCAAACAACGCTTCTTTGCACCAACAAAAACCACACCTCACGGTGCCTCCCACCGTGTCGCTGCGCCGAAGACGAGGTCTCCAGCCTCTACATCTCCTTCGGCGGCGGCGCGCCCACCGGCGACATCGACACCGATGGTCGCTGGGCCGTGGAGAGAGCCTCGTTTGGGGGTTGGACCTTGGGTGGTGCATGGTGGTGGAGGTCTTGGAGTGGTCACACCTGGTCATTTGGAAATGGAAATACGTGGTCAGACAGAAATCATGGGGTACATACGCTGTAAGAGATGCACGCTTCCTTTCATGTGCAAATATATCCAGAAATATCCAGAAATAAGCGCGACAAAGTCTGTTCTCAGCACAGCCCACGTTATCCTGTCTCGATTCTTACTGAACTTGGAACCTGGTTGTCCTGGCAGCGGACGAAGTTCTGATGTTCGATCCAGAAATCAGTCTACTCTGTTCTGAGCCTCGGGACTGTTTTTGTGACCTAAACTGCGTTTTGTGACATGACAAGATGAAGCCTTCACAGCACAGCCAGTCCTGTGCATCTACCTGGGTGCAGAATTCCTTGGTAGGACATGTAGGACATGGTAGGACGAATGGCAGTGGTGCGCAGCCCTTCAGATGGCGATAAAGACGATAAGGTCACCACACCGATGCATCTCCGTCGCAGAATCTTGCACTCCCCCGCGAACATGCCACACAAATCAAACTCGGCCATGTGGTTAAATGTTCAACTGCAAAGTTGCAAAGAAGACATGATACACACTGAGAAGGTTCTGAAACCGTGAAAAGCTTTCTTTGGGAACCAACCCTGCAATTCGAGACCCGCACATGCCGCACATGTGCTTGTTTTGCCTCGACCACAAACACTTGACATGCCGCGGTATCGGCTCTAACACAACAGCCGCAACACGGAACTTGCGCGTCGCCCTGTGAATTCCAAACGATGGGACTCGGGTCCATCGCCTTCATCGTTTCGCTGGCGCAAGACGTGTGGAGCATGCGCCAGGCGGTGTTGGTGGGGGAGTGGCAGCCGAACAGTGTGTTGAGGGCTGTGCCCCGCGCCAGCGTGACACTTGGAAAAGGACACCAGCCTTTTGGGGCTTAGAGAAAGGTAAGGGGAGCTTGAGGTGTTCGGTCAAAGGAGAGAGCTCGGGGACCTAAGTGACCTGCCAGAGGACTTTCAGAATTGGTCTACAGGCTTCTTGAAACAGAATTGGTCATGAATTGGTCCACAGCAAAGCTTCTCAAAACAAATTAGCCTGTCTACGGGAAGGCTTCTCAAGATAGAATTGGTTACCAGCACGTTTTTTAGGACAGGATTGGTATGTGGAAAGGCGAGCAAAATTGGTTTACAGGATTGCTTCTTAAGACCAAGGTTGAAAAGAAGCAGGGAGAAGGGGATTGTGAGAAGGGAACTCTATAGTTTCTTATGTAAGTCTTTTCAACCAAATTGGACCATTTACGAGTGGACAAAGCAAATTGGGCTACGTCTGTAAGGTTGTTCAATGTGTTTCATACTCTAGCAAATCTGGTTTATAAGCAAAACTGACGAAAACACGGGGCAAGCTTTGGAGAAGTTGGTGGGGAGAAGGGACGGAAGAACCTGCATTGGAACAACAGAAACCGTGACGATGCTTTAAAGATTCGAGAGGCGCATGGCCAAATAGTGCATGGTCGATGCGAGTGTTCCTGGCAACTCATGAATTGTCCAAACCGTGAACCTCATCGAGGATCCAGGTATGGATTGAACCCGGATGTCTAGCACTGGCAAAAACAGGCGTAAAGCCGTGGCATTTGGTGCCTTCAACTGCGTTTGGTGTGTTCAAATGATGGTGAGTGAATGATTTGTTTTTTAATATAGTTGGATGTCTATTATAATACTAGTAATTCACCCCTTGTTACTAGTAGCTTCTTGTTACTAGTAGTAAGGCCAGGAGCTACAAGTAGCGTCCTTGCTCCTAGTAGCGATGCCCTTTGTTACTAGTATAGGTTCTTTATATTGTTATGTTATGTTATGTGTATGTTAAAAAATTGTGTCGTTGTTGCCTCTTCTTCTTGTTCGTCTCATCCTAATGCCCAATGTGGGCTGGAATCATCCTGAAACACATCAAACCAATGGCAATTCCCCATGTTTGCTTGGCCAGTGTTCAGCGACTTTGGGGTATTTTTCTTAGGCTGATATTGCTGAAAGGACATCGCTGAAACAATGAAAAACACCCAACCTCCACGTCAAAGGGAAAAACAAGCGGAATTAAAAAAACGCGGAGGAAAAAGCGGATGAACACAACTTTGTGTGTTTGCAGCAAAGCAGGGAGAAGAAGCGGACAGCAGACGGGGGGGTCCGAGGAGTGGACAGCGGATGAGTGGATTGGATGTGGATGGAGTGGATGATGTGAAAGAGAAAGACATAATTTGCCGTCCACATCCACATCCACTCCACTCATTTTTCTCGGCAACAAGAGAAAGAAAGATGGATATGGATGTGAAACTCGGTCTCTGAAACAAACATGTCGCAGATGCGGTGACGAATGATGTCATGGGTGATGATGCACGTGTATATATATATATATATGTGTGTGTGTTTGTCACCCTGGGAGTCATAGGGAGCCTTTTGGCTTTGTAGTAGCTTCAAAGACCAGGAGCTACGTCTTTGCTGCTAGTAGCGATGCCCTTTGTTACTAGTAGCTTCTTGTTCCTAGTAGCGATGCCCGGAGCCCCTAGTAGCGTCGTTGCTCCTAGTAGCCTTTTGACTTTGTAGATGTGTGGTCAGCTTCAATTTCAGCAGAGCTGAAAACTCAGAAAGAGAGAGGTCCCTGACCTGAAGGCACCTGGGGTCCCAGAGCAGCGGTGCTCAACGAAGACCTGCTTTGGGACCTGTGCAAACATATCTGCTCAACTGGAGGCCATTGCTATGCCAACCTAGCAGCAATGGCCTCACTGTTGATCGCTGGCATGGTGGCATTCGTACGAACTCCTTTCCCAACCGTGTGGGTGTGATCTGGATGTAAGAAAATCATGCTGAAGATCGTGATATATGGTGATTATATAATGCAACAAGGTCCACATCAAGATTGTTGATGAAAAGAGTCAAAATCACCGCAGGCCTCCTACAAAGCAGCAGTCCGAGCAGTTACCGGACCTGTGAATTGACTTGTTTTAGTTCAGTTGTTTCAGCTCGGTCGTGCGAGTGCAACTTGAGCTGTTTGAGTTCAGTTGTGCGAGTTGAGTTTTACGGCTTTAGTTGTGTGAGTTGAGTTGGACCCGAGGCGGCGAAGAAGGCAAAGTCGACGCGGAGCAACACTGTAAGAATAAGAATGCCTCAAAGTGTTGTGGGAAAAAGCCTTTTTGGGTCGGATGTGTTGGCGCAGGATGGTGAACCAAGCGCAGGATGGAAACGTGGAAGTTCGGAATGTTGCCCAACTGGGTCGTTTGCTTTGATGCATTCACGCCGTTAGCGCAGAGCTCCTGTCCGTTAGGCCAACAGTGCCACTCACAACTGCGACAACTTCTTTGGCCCTCGCCCCTGCTGCAATGTGAAGTGCAACGGGAAAAGGGATGTGCCCTATCAGAGCTACCGTGGCTCTGGCGTCCAGAATCTCAAGTTGTATCAGTGCGAAGTGACGAAGGGAGCCTTCATGAAGCCAAAGGAAAGCTACGGAGCCTACGAAGCTTGGGTAGAGAAAATATGAGAAAATGATGGGAGTTAAAGATGGAACAGATTTCCATTTGCATTCTTTCTAATAGCAATGGTGCCTCCAAACCAATAAATAAAGCCTCACTTCCCTATTGCTGCTTTGGTTTTGGTGGACTGATCAGTGACCAAGTGAGTAAATTACTATGTTTCAGTAAGGTGATGTTATGGGCCAACACTGAATGATCTTGCAAAACAATGAAGATTCTTTTAACAACAATCCAGTGGCATGTGCCTTCTAGAAACCCATAATATTCCAGGTGGAACTTGGGTGCAATTTGGGGTACAACCTTCAGTTTGCGCAAGTCGCAAAAACTCAACCATGGCCCTGGCGGTACTTCACTTGAAAAATGACGCCTTCGCCCAAATGTCCATCGGCATGCAAAGGCGTCACGGGTTGACGAAAACGACGTCTGAGGATTGGGATGAGGAGCCCATCACCCCGGCGGAGATGAACGATTACATCGCTGCATCTCGTGGTTACAGGACTGTTTGATGGGTCCCAAGCATTAATGTTTAATGGTGAGAAGTTTGTTTGTTCACACTGCTCCTGATGGGGAGAGGTTTGCTTTTGATGAAAACCCGGTGTCAGATCCAAGGGGCTGCAAGTTGGATGGAAGGGACTGCTGAGCGGGCATTTTAAGACTGCACCCAGTTGCAACCCCTTTTCATGGATGATAGCAGCTCACAGTCGCCAGACCAAGGGATGTGTGTTTGACTTTTGACTACGCATACACTGTTGCTTCCCAAAGTTCAGTTTCATAGGCCACGCACTTCAAATGCGCCCTCCCTGAGGCCTGTTGCGCATTTGGATGGCACGTATGTATGTGACTCGGAGTGGAGCGCTAGAGATCGGTCCGAGGTCCAGCGATGGCCAACATGTTTCGAATAGCGGCCTCCAGCCTAGTAGCGATGGCCAACATATTTTGCTTACAATCCGTGGTGTTTTCCTATGTGTTTCCCCATTTTCCCCTCGCAGTTCCTTGTTCGGCCTTTTTGCCTAAGGTGAGGAGACCTGTCGTTTTGTCACCCTTGATCAGCGTGATCACCCAAAGGGCGCCAACGACACGGTCAAGGTTTACCGCGATGGTGGCATGGAGTATTTTGGCAAGACGGCCTATCTTTGTGCAGCTCGCCCGCGTGGTGCGTGGTGCGACCTCGCATCAAACCGCAACCTCCCGGTCCCAGCTATGATCTGCATGGATGAGAATCCATTTAACGAGCCCCTATAACTATATATATACTTAACATTAGTCAACCAATGATTCAGAAGACTTAACAGATTGTTCTTGAGCCCGTGCTAGCTGGCTCAAGTGATTCAAAATCTGATCCAACCGAAACGGCGAAGCATTTCCAAACACTGAGTTATTGACCACCTGTTCGTGGACGGCACCTGTTCGAATCTCATGGCCGTCTTCCAACGGGCCGACTAACATACGCTGACTTCCATGGCCATTTCAGGGAGTGTATTTGTACTTACCTATAGTATGTATAGACCTGGGTTCCCCACATGACACGTGTCAAACTGGTCAGTTTTGGGTGGAAGTGCGTGACCGGAAAATGTGTCCTCACCTGGAGGACTCAGTCAGCATTGCTCTGCGGTTTTTCTGGTGTTTTAGATTGGACATGGGATTCTGACTGGAATGCTCAAGGCCGGACCCTTTGTCCCTCAGGTTCGGCACCGTTCTGGAGGTTTCGAAAGGTCCAGCGACGGGCATGCCGGACGCTGACGGGAGTACACCGCGCCACGCGCGGAGTTCCGCCTCCCACAGGTCAGCGTCGAGGACTTGGAGAAGGACTTGTCCGAGCTCAAGGCCGCGAAGCCGGACGCAGGAGATCATTAGCTCGTAGGAGCGATCGGACACTACGTTTGGGGCTCCTGGCCATACTATACTAGGGGCTCCTGGCATCGCTACGAACGGAGCAGGTTGCCATCGCTAGCAAGTTAAAAGTCGAGGAACCCAATGAAAGCTAGTAGTAACAAGTGCCACGCTAGTAGTAACAGGTGCCTTACTTGTAGTAACGAGAAGCTATTAGAAAGAAGATAGTGTAAACATGTGCAAACGCTCTCCCTCAGGCAGCTCCCCCCCGCCATTTAGGCGGCGTGGGGAGCTACCTCTAACCCACCGCACCTCTACACCGCCTACCCCCCCCGGTCATAAAAGGAACTAGCAGTGGCCTCCTGTAGGGCCACGGAGTCCGAGCAGAAATTGGATGTGAGCGTCTTGTCATGGTAGCTGGTAGCTGATAATATGATGGAATAGATGGAATTTTATGATGGAATGATGCCTCTTGGGTAACCAGTCTTGGCTAACTTCTACTTCTAGATGTCGCATCATTAAGAGATTATTGGCACTCGCCGTGGCCTGAAAAGTGTAGGGCGAAAAACCCTTCCCCCAAGAATCAGTTCGAGTTTGTACAAGGGGTTGGAGCTTCTACCATTGCACCATCGGCTTTCAAACAAGCTCGCCCCAAGTGCTTGGGGCCCGACCGGGGTTCAGGCTAAGAGTGCCCCGCCTGCTTACCAGGCACAGGAGGATGCGGCAGAGGAGAAGAAGCGTGCAGAGGAGGAAGCGGAAGCGCAGAAGAGACGTGACGAAATCTTCCAGGTTTTGCTGCGTGAAGAAATGGGCGAGGCTGTTCTTCGTCGAAATCTTCCAGGTTTTGCGGCCACTTCGGCAGGTCGTGTGATCGGAAAAACTGCGAAGGTCTGAAATGCGAAACACCTCGCCGACGGCAGGTGCCTGGTAGTTCCCGTGTTCATCCGCTTTCCAACCGGGTGTTCTTGTGCGATTGCACCACACATCTTTGACGGCCGGCTCAAAGTGCTCAGTTGGACGGTGACCTCTAGAGGAACCCACCCACCAAACCGAAAAGCTGCGACTTGAAGATTTGGTAACGCGTTACTATATAGTAGTCGCAACGCGCAATTAAAGTCGTTATATAGTAACGCACATTCTTGCGGTAACCCAACCACCAAACCACCAAATCGCAAGAATGTGCGCGTTACTATATAGTAGTAAGAATGCTCCGATCGTAGCGATGCCAGGAGCCCCGTGACGAACGCGTGCACAAACGATGTGCGCAAACTTGAAGTCGATGAAAGCAGAGATGAAACGTCAACCAAAAAGTGCCATCCAGACTCACGATGTTCCGCCAATTCCGGGTTCAAGTTCCGGATGTGCCAAAAACCTGGATCCTGAGGGTGTTCCGAACACCGCCGCAGGTCGAAAAGCCGCCGAAAAAGAAGACCTTCAAAGAGAAGCTCGCAGTGGCCAAAAGCAAGATCTTGGGAAAGTAGATTGGAGGCCATCGCAAGTAGGTTCGAGGCCATTGCTACTAGTTACTGGGTTGGAGGCCATCACTCTTAGTAGAAAGGCTCAGGGACTTCGTGAGCCGAGTTGGGGGGAGATCGGGTGTAGGCGTCGTGGTCCCGAAAGACCATTCGTGGCACGGTGTCCAAGACATGTTCTATTAGTAAAAATGCTCCTAGTAGCGATGCCAGAAGTCCCTAGTAGCGTCCTTGCTCCTAGTAGTAAGGCCAGGAGCCCCTAGTAGCTTCTTGCTACTAGTATATGGGGTCTTTATAATACAGAAATTTGTGGTCGTTGGATCGTAGTTGAACACACTAGCAGACTCTAGCGTTGTGCCTTGAGTTCACTCAGATACCCAGCTACCTATCGTCTACCCGGGTGATCCCGGTTTGGCGTCCTACGGATCCACATAGATGTGCTTCTCGTTCTTGGCGGTCTAGGAACAAGAAGATACTAGTGACAAAGGGCATCGCTACTAGGAGCAAGGACTCTACTACTAGTAAGAATGCTACTAGTGATGCCCTTTGTTACTACTAGCGATGCCCTTGTTACTACTAGCAAGGTCGCTACTGGTAGCATACTACTAGTAACAAGAAGCTCCTAGTCGTTGGAATCATACTAGTTCTTCGTTCTTGTGACGAGTTCCGCCAGGAACTCATGGAGACACACCCATGCAGCCGAGTGCCCTGCAGCCGCAAACAAGAACGTTCATCGGTGCCCGTAGCTTAAGCTGCGCGAAGCTGCGGATGTGTGGTGAACAGATCCGTTAACACGCAAGCCTCTGCCATGCAAGCTTTTGCCCTGAAAAGTGCCGCAGGGATGGTATGTTTCTGGAAGCAGAGCTGCTGTTTGAGGCGGAATGAGGTAGACATGTACACCCCGGAAGATTAACATGGAACCTGAAAACAGACCTTTGGACCTTTGGAAGACGATTTTCCTCGGTTTTGTTGGTTAAACATCTTCCAGTAATCTTCACTTCTTGGCGATGTTTGCAGAGAGAAATGTTCGTTGCCCTTCTCCAAACTTTGGAGATCTCTTGTTGGTGACGTACATGGGGTGAAATGGGGAATCCCTGCTATTTTGGACTGGAGATCATTGATTTCACTTTCTTGTGTTTGAAGCGAAATGAAGTCCTGGGTAAACAGCAACCATCGTTGACATGGCAAGACGTTCCGAGACAAATGAAAAACATGAAAACACAATATTAGACTAGGAGCATCGCTACTAGGAGCAAGGACGCTACTGGTAGCTCCTGGCCTTACTACTAGATTCTTCCTTTTCTGTGTTTCTTCGTTTCTAATAGCGATGGCCTCATGGCCTCCAACCTAATGTTCTGAATCCAGGATTTTTGGGAAGGGCGAATGGCAGAATTCCCAGATCCGTCCAGGTTTTCTGCTCAACGGACTGCCTCAACGAACTGCATCAACTTCACATCCCTGTGGACGACATTCTTTCATACCCAGGTAACTTGACATGCCTGTGTGTCAGTGGTGTTTTCTCGTTGGTCTCAGGTTCTTCGCTCAACTTCCGCGTATAAGTGAATGCTCCAGTTGGTCTTTTCTGGCTCAATCAGCTCAATAAGACCATAGGACGCCGCCGTGTCGCCTGTGAATTCCAAACGATGGGACTCGGGTCCATCGCCTTCATCGTTTCGCTGCTGCAAGATGTGTGGAGCATGCGCCAGGCGGTGTTGGTGGGGCCTGTGACACGACGCGGAAAAGGAAACCCATCAAGAATGGAATTTGAATAGGAAAGCTAAACAAGCTATTAGTAGCTTCTTGTCACGAGTAGCGATGGCCTCCAACCTAATAGCGACGGCCTCCACCTAGTAACCAGATAGTTAATAGGGTAAAAAAGACTCAATGGCCGCATTGCAACAACAGAACCACCGCCGTGTACATTGTTGGTGGCTGGGAATTTGGCTTGCGGATTGAGCAACAAAGAATCGATGGAAAGGAGAGAATGACCTAAACATTCTTCTTGCTGGACTAGCCCTGGCGGTAGCCTGGCACAGTTCGAGCGTTTAAAAGAGAACAGCAGTCCCTGCATTTGAGAGAGAGAGAGAAAAAAAAACACATATGGCGCGAACGTAGTTCTGGATCTCACAGTGAACAAAGCACAGGATGTTGATGGAAGTTCGTGGTTGAGTTGGATGCCTCAATCTTGTCGTAGGTTGGAGGCCATTGCTAGTAGAAACAAAAGAAGAAAGGTCTTATAGCAACACGTTTTAGGTTAGATGCCTTCAGCACAGACACGCAAAAAACTGCGTCCGTTAGGCTAGCAATGCCACTCACAACTGCGATTCGTTGTTTGGCCGCCAATGCTGCACTTCGAAGTGCGACGGGAAACGGGACGACTCGCAGAAGGGATCTGGTGTGGAGAATCTCGAGTTGTATCAGTGCGAAGTGACGAAGGGAGCCTTCACGAAGCCGAAGTCGAGCTACGGAGCTTACGAAGCTTGGGTAGAAAAGAATGGGATTAGAGCTGGAACAGATTTCCATTTGCATTCTTTCTAATAGCAATGGTCGATGGTGCCTCCAACCCAATAGTGATTTCCGTTCGCATTCCGTCCAGCCGCGTACGCTTTCCGTGACATGGACGTCCGAGGGGTGGGACAACAAGCCGATCAACACGAAGGAGATGAACCGATATATCAATCATTATCGTCGCGACCGGCTTCTGATGACCTCCCAGTTGGAGAAATCCGCGCTTCCTTATTCATGGTATGTGTGTGACTCGGAATTGCGGGATGCTTTCCAAGAGATTTCAGCGACACCTGGAGATTCGTGTAATTTATACGTAAGGCCTTACAGATACCTTGGCATTTGCTGAAACGAGTGAATGTAGCTAGTCACTCACCCATGGTTGACCCCCCAGCATGTGACATGTTTCTCTATTACGCGGACGCCATCGCTCTTAGCTTGGAGGCCATCGCTCTCAGGTTGGAGGCCATCGCTCTTAGACTGGAGGCCATCGCTCTTAAGCTCGAGGCCATTGCTAGTAACTTAGTAGCTTGGAGGCCATCGCTCTTAGGTTGGAGGCGATTGCTAGTAGGTAGGAGGCCATCGCTCTTAAGTTGGAGGCCATCGCTCTTAGGTTGGGGGCCACCGCTAGTAGGTTGGAGGCCATGGCTTTTAGGGTGGAGGCCATGGCTCTTAGGTTGGAGGCCATTGCTTTTAGCCATCGCTCTGAGGTTGGAGGCCAGGAGCCCCTAGTAGTGTTCTTGTTCCGTTCGTAGCGTGGTGTTTTCCTCTCCCACTTCTCCGAGGTGAGGAGACCTGTCATTATCTCACCAAAGATGATGACCCAAAGGGAGCCAACCATGACGCCATCAAGGTGTATCGCGGAGGCGGGGGTGAGCGACATTATGGTCACAAGGAGCTTTGTGCAGCTCAGCTGCAGCGGTCTCAGCGCCGAGCGGTGCGTGTACTGCGGTGAGTGAGAAGATTTGCCTACTGCGGGGAGGAGCTCTATCGATGGAGACCTCTGATGGGTGGTCCTGAAACTTGTAAATTGATCCTTACAACTAAATGATCAATCTTAGTACGGAAAGTTAAGTTGACCAATCTACAATGATCCTCATGTTTGCTCTTAAGGCGCCGCCAGCTGTTCAACGTTAGACTCGATGTGTGTGTTCCTGAAAAAAACACGTCTTCCATTTGTGTGCTACGAACGGAGCAAGGACGCTACGAATGGGGCTCCTGGCATTACTACTAGTAGAAAGAAGCTACTAGAAACAAAAATCCAAGATCATTCAAATTGAATGAAAATTATAACTAAAAACATGTCTTCCATCTGTGTGCAATTGGATCGCGCCCTGGGTGACACAATACATCTGGATGGCACCACACTCTGCACACCCTCAGCTCGATGGCCTCCCTCGGATCCCTTCAGGTCAACGTCGAGGATGTGGCGACGCAAGTCTCAGAGCTCAAGGCTGGAGACCTGGTCCTCCTCGGTCCTAGGAGCAAAGGGCATCGCTACGAACGGAGCGATCGGACGCTACGAACGGGGCTCCTGGCCTTACTACTAGTAGCATTGAAGCTACTAGAAACAAGTCAAAAGAAAATCCAAGATTATTTTTTAGACAAGAATTCAAAGATCCTTCATTTGAATTGAAGTTAAAAACTCATCTACATTAGAATTCAATCAAGGCCGGACACCGGGTCCGCGGCGGGTCGTTACGGTGTGTTTCGTCGCGTTCGTCGCATGTTGGACCGTGCCGTTTCCGCACGGCGCAGACACGGCGCAGACAGTTGATGGATTATGGGAACAAAGTGAGCAAATAATCAAGCACACAAAGTGTTCTCGTGTCTCAGACCCCACAGGTGTTGAAGATTGACTCTTTTAGCCCAGAGCAATTTCAGGATGCAAACCACAATATAGGATGGTTGCCAGTGATCACGTCCGTTCGATTAGGAAACCTTCGTCGTGTTCAAATCGAATGCACAGGTGGCCTTGACCTTTCATCAAACCCTGCAGCGTTAGTTCAACAAAGGCCACCTGGAGTTGATCGGTCAAAATCTTGCCTAGCAAAAGTTCATGAGGTTTGGGTAGTTTAGGCCCCCTATCTCGAAATTGCTTGAGAATGCAGGTCAAGCAGGACAAGGAAGAAGCCGACAAAGCCCTCGCGGAACAGAAAAGACGTGAAGAAATAGCCCAGGCCTTTTTTGGTCCTGGAAGACTGGCTGATTTGGGCCACTCGGATTGGGGCCCTGAAGGTCGTGTGAACATCTCACCAAGATCAGGGCCGAAAGAACCAAGGAACTAGGAACCACTGTGAAGCAGATGGCCTCCAACCTACTAGCAATGGCCTCCAACATAAGAGCGATGGACTCCAACCTACTAGCGATAGCCTCCAGCCTACTAGCAGCGGCCTCCAACCTACTAGAGATGGCTTCCAACCCAAAAGGTTCAAGCACCAGTAAGTTACTTTAATGAAAGTTAGTCCTTTACTGACAGAGAGTTCTTTGACTCTTGGTGCTTTACTGACAACAGCCGTTCAGTTTCTTGGCTCGGAATCAGGGTTCAGGATATCAAAGATGGTAAAGCGACCTGCAGCCAATGTTTTGAAGAAGCCAGCGGCTGCTAAGCGTCCAGCAAGGACTGGGTTTTGGGAATTGGGACTTTGGGAATTGGGACTGATTTTACCCAGACGGGCCATTTGTATCCATGTTGATTGCTTGGCTCAAGCCATGGCCAATGCTCAATGGAAAAGGCATTGTTGTTTGGACTATTATGATGATGATATTATGTGATCATTGAATAGCAGTGAGTTTAATCAGATTCAACCGTCAATATTTCTCTGACTGTGAGTTTGGTGAACCTGGGTCTCATGGCAATGGATGCTGGCAAGTCTGACATCCTGGCAGCTTCTGATAGTGAGGGCGAATTTTCTGTTCCCAGAAAAACACGAGACCATGCTGCCCTTGCTGCAAAACTTGTGCAAAGACCTTGCACATGTGCCAAAGCGGACTGTTTCAAGCAGTTTCAAGGACGGGAGGAGCAAGTTGTTAGGGAACGCCAGCGCTTTCAAAGCTTGCCAGCTTTCAGGAAAGACACTTTGGTCATAATATGTTTGGGTTGTTTGGGGTGGAACCTTGTGCAGTCTGTGCTCACAATGGATTTATGTTTAAAAGCCATTGTTTTATTATCCTATTTCCGTGACAACTCATTGGCTTTAATCCTCCGGTGCTGCCAAGGAGCAGATGATTACAGATTGGTACCATCCCCGACCCCTGGTTGACCTTGAACATAGTGAGGCTGAAGCGATTACAGAGTCCGAGATACTGCTTGCTTCAGATGAGGAAGATGTGTTGCTTTGTGCCACCCCAATCGATGTTGAGGGGACAATCTTCCCCCAAACCCCGAGCCGTGATCCCAGCCCATCACCAAGTGGTGACTTGGACCCACGTCCACCCCAAAAGAATCGTAGGTATGAGAAGTGCTCGTCCCGAGCAAGAGGTGCATTGACATTCTTGAACCTGCCAGTAACTTAGCAGCAAGTCTTATTAAGAATCTTGTTCCTCCATCTTGGGGCTTTCATCTGCAGAAACCAATGCCAGGCTCAGGGAAACACTTCGGACATCTTTGTGCTAAGCTAGTGAGGAACCCCCATCACAGTCAGGTATGCCAATCCGCCCACAAACGGCTGATTGGTATTGGCTCTGGTGTACTTCAAGCAATGCGAGAGGGCAAACCTGGCTTTACAATGGATGAGTATCGCACCAGCCATCCGAAACATCCAACATTGGGAGTTTCCTTGCGCAACTCCTCATCGGGGAAATGGCAGTACATTTTGGCATTTCTTTGGTTGCTTTACGTGAGTGAAGCGGAGATCCTGCCCACAAAGTTCAAGATGCCTTCCGAGAAAGTTCAGAAGTACCACATGAATGATGAAGACTTTCAGGAGAGATACGTCACTGCCTTCCTGAGGGATGTCGATTCTCAGTTTGCTTTGCCGCGGATTGAGCATCTGGGGCCTGGGAGCTTTGCAGGCCCATGCAGGTTCCTTGAATATGCCCAGCCAATCGACATATTTTATCAATATTCTGCCCATGAAGAGAATGATGGGCGGAAGCCAGCCTCACTGGCAACGTTCATGAAGGTGTTCAAGAAGATCTTTGGAACTTATTTGAAGTTCCGAGACCACTCAGAGCACGCGCAGTGCAACATTTGTGGTCGATTGAAAGGCAAAATCAAGGCCGGGAAATCCAAACAGCAAAGACTGGACTTTGTTGGAGAATACTCAAGACATGTATTATCCCAGTGGATGGATCGGCAGATCTATTGGAAGCTACGCGCACTGAGTCAGAGATACTTTGGCACGATCGGAATTACACAAATTCAAGACAGCATCTACAGTTCGTGTTTGACAGCCATTCTGGATGGAATGGATCAATCCAAACTGAGAACGCCTCGGTTTGGATATCAAAGAATATCCAAACAGCTTGAGGCCCTCTTCCGCCCAACCCTACACCTGACAGCAGCCTGGCTGCATGGGCACAAGGTGTGGCTTCCAGTGAGCGACGAGAGTTTGAAGAAAGACTCTCAAACCCAAGCTGAGATTCTCTCAAGAGCCCTCAGCGATCTTTGCGTGAGCGTGGCCACTAAGCAACTCCCTTTGGGATTCCACCTGCAGCAGGACAATTGTTTCCGGGAAGGAAAGAACAAATACATCGTTTCCTATTGCCTTTTGTTGGTCGTCGTTGGTGCATTCCGGTGGTCATCCACTGGATTTCTTCGTACAGGACATTCTCATGAAGATGTCGATCAAATCTTCGGCCAGTTAAGCCGGCTCCTAAAAGGCAAATCATTTTCTACACCAGAAGCGCTCATCAAATTGTTGAGGTCAGCCGCCAGCCGCTCCTCAAGCCAGCCCGCTCAGATTCGTGGGAGCCAAGTATGTCCATATAAGCTGGACGAGGTTGCATGCTGGAAAGTCTTCACGCAGCAGTTGGGGCTTGATTTCAAGGGACTACGACACCTAGTTGTCTTCATCCGGTTTGGTGTAAGTTTTTTGGTTTATATAATTGCAGCTGTTGGACGTCTAAATTAAAACTAAAAAACTAGGTTTACAGTGTTCTAGTCAGCACATTTCAGGACGTATACACTACATGCGTTTCTGCAAGCGAGAAGACATAGAAGCAGACATCTGGAACAGTGTGAGAGAGGTGGAAGACTTCCGCTCTTCCCATCCCAAGATGGGCAGCGACATCTTCTTGATTGCTAAGAGATGGTTGGCTGACCGAGAGGTGCTTCGACTCATTGCCTTGGTTCCAGCAGACACTGCTGCCAAAATCCGTCGTGGGCTACATTTACCCGACGGGGTGGCTGCCAGGCGAGCTATTTCGCCCAAAGTCCGGGCAAACATTGAGAGATATGTCCCACGATGCCAAATGCATGGTGAGTTGTCACCCGCAGCGGCGGCTTACCTCACGGAATGGTCCACCGGAAAGTTGAAGATGATCAACAGGCCAGAGCGGTACGAGATTTTCAGTCACAGATGGCAGCCGGAAGAGAGATTGGAGGATTTTCAACCAGGAACCTGGACCATACCAAGACGTAAGAGACACATTGACCTGACAATTGAGGCAGAAGCTGACGCAGCATCCTCTGACAGTGAGGTTGAGGGCGATATTGACCTTCCGCCAGTCTTGCTTGACGACTGTGCCTGATGAGCATAAAAGATTGACCACCTCAATTCTTGGGGGGTGATTAGGCTGTGAGTGTGTTCCTTCTGGTTTTGTTTGAGTTTTGAGTTGAACGGGGTTTCTTTGGATGGTAGGACGTGAAGGTAGGGAGGGGAGACGGAAGGAATGGTGGATGACAGAGGTTTCAGTGTGAGGGGGTTCTGAGATGGCACGCCTTTGGGTATTGAACCAGGCTTCCAAGAAGACAAACAACAACCTTCTGCAGCCTTAAACCATTTTGGAGAGTATTCATTCTGAACTCCAGTTAACTTTGTTTAGCTCTTTGTTTATTCTTTGCAAAGCTCAGGCCCTATCCATTCCCAACCCAACAAAGGTGAGGTCTCTAACCCTCCCTCCAAGCACCGAGCTACCCAAACCCGGTTGAAACCAGTTCACATTTTATGGCTCAATTGAATTCATGCCGCCAGGAGAAATGATGACGAGATGTTCCTGGCCTCGGATGTAGAGGATGGGCGTGCCGCTTCCGCAGCAAACACGCATCTAGGATCATCTTAGTCTTCTTTTGATTTGAGCTGCAAGCCTTGAAGGCTTTGAGAGGCCCAGATATATGATAATATATGATATACTACTACCACCTCGACCGAAAACCTTGAACGACCTTCCTGACAGCCCAGGAGTATTGCTGATTCCGCCGACCTTGCCCAAGATGCAGAGAGCGTTCTGAATGCCACTGATGCTGAGGAGATGGAACCAGTGGGTTTCGTAGATGGATATATCAGCAGCCCGTCTCCAACCCAGTGCCTCTTTCACGAGAGTGGAGTCTTGGTCAACTCAGATGAGAAGGAGTTCAGGCACATGGCCATGTCCTATATCAGTGCAACTTGTGTTACTCCGCAGTCTCCTTTTCTATTTGGTGAATCGGACACCTTGCAACCATGTGTATTTTGTTTAAAGGACTATGTTAAACTTAAACGCAACAAAAGTTTACACGCTGAGATTCGTGCCTTTGTGAAAGACTACCTCTCCACCTTCCCTCGATCAAAGATTAACAAATTGAAGCTATCCTTGTGGGGCGTGGGCCAGTGTCAAAATGGAGTACTACGGGTTGGCAGTATGTGCACTGGCTTAGGGACGGCAGAGATGGTGCTTTCTCATTTCCAAAACATCTGGAATGCAGCGCACAAAGAGCAAATTCAGGCACGGATTTTGCCAACACTGATTAGTATATGTTGGTCTATTTTGGTCCACCTGGGGTACTAAAAGGGCAGGTAGTGGAAGAATGGGAAACCTGCAGCCATTCTGATTTGCTTGCCCTGCAGTTCGAACATACCTTCATGGTGGAGATTGACAAGAAGAAACGTGAGCACCTTCTCCAGTTCAAGCCTCTGTTGCTCTTCAAGGATATGGCTGAAATCGGGAGAGATTTCGCTGAGACCCATGATGGTGAACATGCAAAGGTTCCGAAGGCTTGGATTTCTTGGCATTGGGTGGGGAAGATCTTTGATCAATTGAGCTGTAGTAGTTTTCCTCACTGATTTTGTTACAAGGGTCCTGGAATCTACACAATTATCAGCAAGTCTTCCTTGGTTCCTGGAATCCTGAAAGGTTGATTTATTCCTTGCCGGATTCCCATGTGTATCATTGAGCGCATTGACCTCAACACCAGGGGCCATTGATGATGAGCACTGCAGTTCGGGGCTGGGATGGCGCTCTGTCAAGCAGTATGTGAAAAAACACGAACCCAAACTCATTTTCCTTGAGAATGTCCAAACCTTATTTCATGCTCGACAGATTGATGATGGACGGACACCGTTACTTGGGTTGCACTGTTTATCTTAGTCAGCTTTGGTACCTTTTGGTGGCTCTCACTCACCTCCATAGGTCCAAACGATAGTCATTATTTGGCGCTTCGCTTCCTCGTAAACTAGGTTCTCATTCATCGAGGAGACACTCAAATCGCTGGGCTATAGTGTGAATGCAGCTAACTTCAACACCGCAGAGTTTGGTCCTCCACAAATGCGGCATCGTGCATGGATCATTGCAGGGAAGTACTGCAATACCAAGCAGGCAATCCTTGATGCTGCAAGTTTTCGCTGTCAAACGCTTCCGCTGGACCGTTTCATTTTGAAATGTTTGCCAGAGGGAGAAGACAACCAGGGACGTTCACGTGGTGGCGACCGAGCTAAGAAGTCTGACCTCACTCCCAAGTGGAAAGCTGACTTCGATGAGTACTGCAAAAAAGTTGGAGACAAGGCTGCTTGCTGACACCAAACTATTTTTTTTGAGTCCAAAGTGTGCTTTTCTTAGCTGTTCAAAAAAGGTCTGGTTTTAAGGATTGGCTTCAATATCTTTGTGAGGCCAACATCCGAAAGAATGTGACCATGCTGCGTTCAATGGCTCCGCAGTGCTCCGAGCGTGAGAGGGCGATTCTTGCAACAGCACTGCGCGAGATGGAGACCAAGGGTATTGACGCCACCAGGACACTGACCATCATACAGGTGGATGCTGGTCTTTATAAGAGGAAAACTTGTCCTTATTTGTGAGCCACTGGTTCCTTTATGATCTGGGCTTGGGGTGGGACAGGAACAACTATGAGTTATGAGTCATTGAAACCCAAGGACCAGAACTTTGACCGTCAAACATTCCCAAAGAGCTACCCGGACAAGCGGACCTGCACCATCATCCCAAAGGGCAAGTACGTCGTCACTGGCCCAGGATGTTTTCGGCCACTCCAGCCAAAGGACTCCATGATCGATGATGGTCATTCAATGGTTTTATCATTCAATGGTTTTATCATTCAATGGTTTTATCATTTCATTGAATTGTGTCTTATTTTATAACTTATAACAACAGTGCAGCATATTGCCTCCCTGCCAGGAAATGGCACTTCTGCAGGGGATCGGGGATGAGGATTGGTATCGCTTTCAGATGGACGAGCTTCCTCCAAGGTTGGCACAGTCCTTCTTGGAAAATGCGTGCCTTGAATTTGAACTTGCGACCATGTTTTGTTTTTTACTGTTTGCTTTAAGCACTTTGAGAGGATGTGAGTGACTGTTCTCAATTTCACACAGATTGTTATTACATGATATTGATATTAATATATATATATATATTATTATGATGGATTCAGGCTTTCATTTGCAAGCTCAGGTTCTCGGTGCCAGTGGTCTTGGCATGCCTGTTGGGGGCTCTATCCAACGTTGGGCCTGGAGTTTGGGAATCCTTTGCCTAGACAAAGAGTCGGCTCTTGAGGTGTCAATGTTGAATATCAAAAGCTATAGCCTATATCACAGTTTCTCACAGCAGCTGTTGACTCTTCATTACTGTTCTCATGGCGTGTGCCCTTCACACGTCGCTGGGACATGAGCAACCGTGTTCCCATAAATTCGGTCCTACCTCATTAGGACGTCGTGGAGCGGAGCAAACAAATGACTGAGTTGTCCAGTAGATATTGCGGAGTCTTTTGTTTGACATAGACTTTGACATGCGTCCCATCTTGAAACCAGTCACTGTCTATTCGGTGGTTGGGCAAGGATTTTGTTTGCTCAAACGTCAGCGACTTGTGCCGCGGTTGCCATCCTTGCTGACATGCCACCTAAGAAGAAGCCTCGCACCACGGGAAACCTTAAGTCAGACAGTTCTGCTGCTATGACCCTTGATGATGTGTCCCCACTCCAAATCAAGCTCAAGGATTGGATTGTCAAGGCATACTCTCTCAGGCATGGCTGTGAGACTGAGAAGTTTCCATGGCCAGTGGACAATGGGGGAAGTCTTCTAGAGATTTGCCGGCGGTGTTGGGACAGCGGTTCCCTTATCAAGGACAGCTTAGCCCTACTTCAGAAGATGGGAATCATGTCAGACTCTACCACGGTACACGACTTTGAGGACAAGTTCATGAAAAGCAAGGACGGGTTTGAGTTCTTTTCGGCCTTGAACCATTTTGCAACAAAGTTCAATCATCATTTTACGGTATGTTCGCCCCAAGGAGTAGAATCCACCAAAATCATTGAAGCTAGCTGTCGGCTTGTGAACCCCACCTGGCTGTTCAGGAATTTCCGCCAAAGGAGGGGCATGTTCTGTCCACCAGCATTTTGCAGTGGAATTTGGATGATGACTCATTTTGGAGAACACCTTCAATGGCTACCGTATATGACATTGCCAAGAGCATCGCGCTCACATCTTGGCGGGAGGCCTGAGGAGTAAGAGTGCAATTAACTACCTTTTTTTTTGACTATAGCAGTGAAGTTCTATTCCCTTACCAAGGAATTCCTCGCCAAAATTGAGACCCAGCAAGAATCCTAAGTATGGAGAGCTCTTCCCAGAAGCGGTCGCCATAGACTAATACTAAAGTAAAGGAGTACCCAAAACCTAAATACCCTGGGTGGGATAGTCAGTGTATACTCATAAAATCTGGAATATAGGCTAGGGAAAGGCTATGGAGAGCTCTTCTCAGAAGCGGTCGCCATAAACAGACATTCAAGGAGAAGGTCAGATTGGAGAGGAATTTGCCACCCAGGGATTTGCAAGGGTCAAATCCCTCGCCAAGCCAAGGGTGATAGGCCTAATCTATGGAGAGCTCTTCCCAGAAGCGCTCGCCATAAGCTGTCCAGGAATCGCTCGCCATAGTCTCAAAAACAAAAATCGCTCGCCGTAGCTACCACGGTTTGTCCCGGAAGCCGTAGTTCAACAGCATCCCAGAATGCTCGTTTGCTAAAATTTCTGCTTAGTTTTTGCCATTCAGTATTCCCCAATCTAAAACGTTTGACCATCCCATCCACCCCATCAACTTGGGAACACGAGCGCGTGACCTAGACTCTCCTAGCAAATTCAATTGGGAGAACCAAATGACTCTGGGAATGAATGAGTGGACATTGGACTTACATGTATTTTCCCAAGATCCATCCGACTGCAGCCTACCTGCTTGCAGGGCGAATTTTTGTCCTTGCGTTTGCCAGACATGAATGTGGATGATGTCAAATCGGAGTTTGCTTTCTTCCTGTTTGACGACGGGGGCATGAAGGCTCTAGCTGCAGCTTTGGTATGGACAGGATGTGTCTATGTTGTGGGCCAGGAGTCAGCGGAAAGTTTGCGACACCCCAGGTTCGTTCAGCTTGTCAAGGGCCTCCTTGGATTGCCAACTCTTTTCAAGAAACAGGCGGATGATGTGGTGTCAGGCACCATTCAGCGGATCATCAAACAGAACATCGATGCAAAGAAGTTGCCTGTATCAAGCTTTGAGTGGGCAGGTATACTTAGTAGGCTTGGCGAAGAGGCAAACGTTGCAGACTGCGTGAAGATGTACAACAATACTCCAGAAGTTGTGGCGCATGGAAGCAACACTGCAACTTAACATCATCAATAACATTTTGGATTGTTTGGACAGCATTTCATTATATTTCATTGCTTAATAAATTCTTAAGCAATATGTTCCCAGGTTCCCCTGCCTTTTGCCAGCACCAAAATTCCACCCGTTGTTTGTACATGTTTCGCTCAATCCGGAGCCAAACCAATGTGCTGAATTGTTTTCCGTGCCCAGGACAAGGGAGATCGAAGTGGAAGTGGTACCCTCATGATTGACACCAAGAAAGCCCATTGCATCAAGAATTGGATGACAAAGTGCAGCAAAGAGGCAACAAGCGTCATCCTGGAGTCACTCCAAGACAGCCCATTTCAGATGGGCCCATTTGGGGAAACCTTTGCGATGATGGGCCAGGTCTTCCTTGGTTCGACTTGTGAGAACTCCAACATCGATGGTGGTGCTATGTCTCCACTTGCCCATGAGGACAGCATCAGCGTGAACTGGGACCTTGAGCTGAATTCCACAGCCCAGGCATTACTCTTCCGGAGAGTGAAGATCGCATTTGACCGTGCCACAGCCATAGTGGACGATGTGCGAGACAAGAAGAAATACAGAATGAAGCCGGAGGACATTGTGACACTTCGACATTTGTGCGCCTTCTATATGCAGGTGCGGGAGTTTTGCAGCACAAGGCTCTCTGATTTCGCAGACTTTGACGCAAAGTTCACTTCAGGGAATGCTGTGGACGACCAGTTCAATGAGATCATGCAGATGCGATCCAAGCAGTTTGGCATCTCCATGCTTCCAAGGTCCCAGCTGGAGGCAGCCAGTCAGTTGAAACGTCAAGAGGAGACGGCCACATTAGAGGTGGAACAGCAACGTTTAGAGCTACGTCAAGCCAAGTGGAAGTACTTTGTGGCTGCACTCTCCAGAGATCAGAAGCAGCTGTCACTCATTGCAGCAGCACCTGACAAGATCGAGAAGTTACGCCACAGAAAGGACATGCAGTGGCGCCTCGAACAAGCCAAGATCGGAGAGAAGGTTGTGATCGCTTACAGTGACCGGTTTGTCCGCTGCAGGCAGGTGAAGCAAGTGGAACACATTCACGAGATTGTTCACGAATACCGCGCCTTTGTAGCACTGCGGCAGCAAAACGGTAATGTTCATGTTTGATGATTTTTTGTGAGTTTGTTTGAAGCCACGGTCAAAATCTGATAGTTGATTACCCCAACGGCCCCGAATGTTCTTCTCTGAGAGTGGGCTGCGAGGCAGAAGCAGCTGGTGTGAAGATGACGGACCTTTGCATGGTGACCTTCGCTGATCTGAATGTTCCGCTCAGCAACTCACGGGAGAAAATGACCGAACTCATGACGGCCATTGCTGCCATCAACGACATAGCTCCCATGCGGAACGCTGCGATTGTCGAGCTGGCGGACACCCCGAAGAAATCCAGTAAGCGGGGACTGGCAGACGAGGAAGCAGAGCTTCAGGAAGTTCTGTGGAGCTTGAAGCAGCAGTGTGATTCGAGATGGATTCTTCCATTTGAAGTTCCAAGTGCTGCAGAGTCCCACAGCTCACGAAGGCTTGTAGATGGCATTGGGTTAGTTCGCATTTCAGAATTGGTTAGGTTTAATGTTGAACTAACCGACGACCACATAATAACTTTTGTTGCATTGCTTCATTCTTGCTACAGGCGATGGAGTAACGGCAGGATCATTGTGAACAAAGATTCAGAGGAGTCCAACACCTTTGCTACTTCTGCTGAGTTGGCTTTGGCAGGACGCCCACTGACAGATGAAAAGGTCTACATCCCTTTGAGCAAGGATCTCCTGCTTCCAGAAAGCCTGGACTCGGACCACGACCTGCGCACCGCAGAAAGGACCCGCCCCAGCCAAGAAGCGATCACGGCACAGAAAGGGTCAGATCGATACCGTCAACTGGTGCGTTCCATGCTTACCCTCCCCGGCGACACCCTCAGCAAGTCCGCAGTGATATTGGTAAACCTTACGGGGTATGTTGAAGAGATGGGAAGTGCAGCTTCTTGGCTGGTCTAGCTCTTGACCCTGCGACCCTGCCATGAGTCTAATCCAGCCACCAATGAATGTTTGCAAGGCCAAAATGCCCTCCGTGTAAGGCAAAACACAAAACACATGCCGCCACGGCCCCATAAGTAAAATGATGGTGATGATGATGATGATGATGGTTATGATGATGATCATCATCATCATCATCATCATTGTTGTTGAACAGGATGAACATGAGGAGATGAGGAGATGATGATTCATGATTGTGAAAATGATGAGTGATGCTGACAGCAAAACAAAAACAACAAGGATGATGGTTTTGATTTCTGTTACTTGCATGCCTGCCCGATTCCAGATCTAAACCTCTCAACCCCTCAATCAAGATGCGTGTGTCGATCCTGTACTACTATGGGAACTGAGTCGAGATGCAATACAATGTCTCAGACAGAGGTTGTAGAAGCACGACTATTACTGTAACTGGTACAAATATGCCCAGCCAGCACAAAGCAAACATGCGGTGAGCGGTGGTGAAGGGATGAGATGGGGATGAAAGCATCCTGACAAACAAACATTACACGTTACAACTAATGAAACAAACACACATACACATACTGTGTGAACACAATATGCAGAATATTGAAATCACTTGTGAGCAAGGGCCCATTGAAACAGCATGCAATCCCAATGCAGCAGCGGTGTGGTCAACCTATTTGTCCTCCCAGGTGCCCCCTTCACTTCAACTGTTTTGGTTAGTTGCCCTTTGTTCTTGGTTCGCAGGCGCAGCAACAAAGACCTCCCCACCCAAACACTGATGCCGACAGGATGTAGAAAGCATGCGAAAGGATACACTCCAGTCTTTGGGCAAACCCTCGTGCGGTCTCTCACTCCTTCTTGTTACAACCAGGGCCGGTAAGACAGGGGCATAACAAGTGTTGCTATCAATTGATTTATGGCTCTCTCCCACTTTCTTACCCCTGTTGGTTTGCAGGGTTTTAAGATTGTTTAAGAATACATTGATTATATTTTTAAATTCAGTTTGAGTTCGGAGTCCACCTCCTCAAGATCAATTATACAGTGACAGGTATACTGAAAGTTTAAAGGGAACCCTCCAAAATGGGGCTAAGGTTCTTCAACACAGGCTCGACAAATCCACATTTGGGTCATTCAGCTGTGACAAGCTCTACTACCTCAGTGTTTCCTGGATTGCTCGTGACAACATTGGACACTCACGTCTACAGCGGGACATCCTGGCAGCATGGATGGCAAAAAAGCTGAACTACGGGACAGATTTTTTGTGAGCAACCAACGGCATTGTCTTCGGCAGAGATCAGCAGCATTCCAGGAGGGGAGGCAACGCTGAAAGGTTTTGACTCACTCAAGTGGGAGGTCCTTGAGCGCAACGGCAGCAGAATGCAGATCCGACAGGATGAACATCGGTACTGGAGCGCTCAGACTGGAGATGTTGGTGAATCTTACGCCAGTTTGAAGGCTAACCATGAGCAACTTCTTGACACCATGCCAGGAGTTGGTGGGCCTGCGGGAAATGCTGGTGAGCAAGGCTCTGAAGCAGGGCAGACTCAGGACAAGAGGGAGGGGGCGATTTCAATACAATATATATAATGTTTATTCAATAAATGTTATATAAATTTCATTTCAGTGTCTATAAATTGGTTGGACTTAAAATGGTTCTTGCAAGTTATGCGGTCCAACAAATACGGTTTAAGTGATGAAATGATGGCCTTGGTGGCAGGACCCGGACCCAGCTCCTGATTCTGTGACCATGGAGTCCCTCGATGCTTTGAAATCAGCTCAAGAAGTTGAGATCCAGGTGAATTCAGAGGTTTCCGGAGTCCAGCTCTTGCTCACCAAGAGCCAGCAAGTATGGCTCCTATCCAACGACAAAGACAGAGTGTTGGGGAAATTCACCCAATTGGGTGGTTTTGGATCGGGTTCATACACCAAGGCGGTAGAGTGTGGTGAAGGAGTTGCCTACAAACTACCGCTCAAAGACAGGACCCCAGTCCAAATCGATGAGACCTCTCTTCGTGGGAATGCGCCGACAGGATCAGTATCCACAATGACCTTATACAAATTGATGGTCCTGACAGAGAAGGAGAAGGGTGTTACCTCCCACAAGATTTCATACCTCAACGTGTCCCGCTCGGAGGAGGTGGAGGCTGGCTGTGACTCCTTCAACGTGGATATGAAAGAGGACATGAAGTTCAAGCTACTACCAGTCGAGGCTGACAAAGTGAACTGCAAATCATTTTTTTGGGAAGTGTGCGCAAAGCACCGAGACAAGCAAATACATCACTCGCATTTTTAGATACCGATTTGAGCGAGTGGGTCTTTCACTGAAGGTGCAAAAGCCTTACATTGTCAGCTCTTGTTCAATTTCGCTGCAGAAGGGGAAACCCTTCAAGATTGCCGATCCCAGTTCATAGTATGCCTGCCACGAGGCAAAGGTAAGCTAATGATTGGGTGGTTTCCTAGAGATGATATAGTTATGGCATGATGTTCTAGCTACAGTAATCCTTCTCACCACATTGCAGGTTCAAGTTCTCACCCTTCCTTTCTTGTTTGCTTTGAGCCTTTGTCTGTAGCTTTGCGGGCATGAACGCGGCTGGCAGCAGATCTTGGGTCACTGTGCCAAGACTCAATAGGCATCCTGATACCTTTGTAAACTGTTGTTATCTTTTGTTAGTATTCTTTTCCAGCAGATGCTCTACAATGTTTAACTAAAATGGCATTAGTGAAGGGACAAGTGCTGAACCAGCCTGCAGCACATACCCAGCCTTTTCCAGGCAGCGCGGGAAAAATATAAGATTTGGAGCTGCTAGTGATATTTGGGAACTTATGCCATGTGTAAGCACACAAGATATTGTGGCATCGTTGAGTCTTCACAAGGTGCACTATGCAGGGTTTCTAGCAACACTTGCCAGCAATCATTGTCGCAGCTTTGTCGATTATACCCAAGCAATTTGTTGTTCTTTCCTGATTGCTGACAATGTGCGTTGTTGCTGCCATGGAGATTTGGGAAGCTGTTTGTCTCTACTGCGCCCTGACCCTCCTCCCAGCGATGCCAGTGGTGATTGTGATCTACTGTTGTAGCAGGACCTTTTGCACAAATCAAAGGAAAAGGACAAGGGACTTTGGAGTTGGAACATCAGATCTTCTACAAGATTGGTCTTCTCAGAGTGACCTGCCAACCTGGACTGATGGCCAAGGTGGTTCATTTAGCCCTTTGCAGACTTCGCCAAATGCTGCAGCAGCGTGTGATGGGCCTAGTATCATTATCATTACCCATAGCGGGACTCGCTGGCACAGCAGTGAACACTGCCGTCATGTAAAGAATAGACGCGTGTTTCAGCGGTTCGCTCCATGCAAAGATTGTGCTTCAAAGAAATCTGATTGATGCAATCTAATTTGCTTAATTTGTCAACCGGTAGACACATCTTGCGAGCGGAAAAAAAACACATTGTTCAAACCATTTGTGAGTCTGGAAGTTAAATCCTTTAGCCATGCTAATTTTGACAGATTCAGAATTCTGGATGATGAGTTTCAGGATTCGACGCCTAGTGTCAATCAATTTTGTCTTGGCGATCGCAGTCTCGTTTGGTCCGAGCCATCTTTATGTTGGCCGTTTTTGGCAACAATCTTAGTGAGTAGACTTGAATTGTATGGCTTCATTTGACATCCAGGCTTCGATTTTGCAAACTCTCGGTGAGAAAGGAAGAAGCAGTGCGATTGAGAGGGTTCAATCGCGCGATTCTATCTCAACTCCACCGCCAAGGCTACCGGCACCGTCAGCTACCAGTATTTCTCCGCGGATTGTTATTCCCCAATCCCCATTAGAGAAGAAAGAAACACCGGAGGAGAACGAAACACCAGAACGGGGGAATGGCCGTGGACGTGGACGTGGACGCGGACGCGGGCGGAGCGATGCAAAACACAGTCTTTGGTTTCAGTTTTGGCACAGTTTTCACAAACCGGGCGTAGGTAGACCAATAGGCAACATTTTTTGTTTGACATCATTACTGCTTTCTGGTGATATGCTGACTGATTCTTCACAGCTTCTGATTTCTTGTGACACTAGGTTCGGGCTCTACTGAAGGAGCACGGGGTGCACCTACTGGGCATGGGGCGACTGTGTTGAAGAAACCATCGGCAGCCAAGCCTCCAAGAAAGAAGCCTAGTGCGGATTCCGTGGTCGAGCCAACCGAGCCACCAAAGGTCACAAAGCCAGAGGTTCCGGAGGTTGCTGGGGAAGAGGAGATGAAAGAAGAGGAGCCGGCAAAGAAGTGTGCAGAGAAATCCAAGAAGGAAGGCACGAAAAGGCAGCCAGCCCAACTGGTGAGTGAAGAGAAATATGAAGGGTGGACGATGTTCAAATTCCGGAGAAATACCAGTGGAACACCGTTTCCTAAGATTGTTTCACCTGACGGCCAAGTTTTTTGGACCATTCGTGCTGCACAGGCGGCCGGGTTCAAGGGCCCTTAGACATCTAAAGGGACAAAGCTGTGACAAAAGACCGTGCGGAACAGCAGAAATCTTGCAACTCCGAAAAAACATACTCTCAAAGAACCCACCTCACTAAAGAACTAATTTTCACTAAAGCTCCTTCAGTGGAACCCATTGAGAGCCCAAACTTAGACTTGGAGAGCAACATGTGCACTAGCTTGGAGAGAAAAAACATCCCAAATCCGACCAGAAACGAATTTTCCTGCAAGGACCGCAGGGGACGGTTGACAGTTGAAAGACATTCGTTCCGATTAGGTTGAAGAACATCGCTATTAGATTGGAGGCCATTGCTATTAGAAACAAAGAAAGAAGAAAAGGAAGAAATATAGTTTGCCTAGGAGCAAGGACGCTACGAACGGGGCTCCTGGCCAAACTACTAGGGCAAGGACGCTAAGAACAGGAAGAAAGGTCTAGTGATGTCCGCCAGGGACCCCCACAAATCCCTTGCCCCTGGCCTGGGGTGTGTCTTTGAAGCGTCGCTGCTTTCGTCGAATTGCTGCAGGTCAAAAAGAAGACCTTCCAAACGCGGCTCGCAGTGGCCCAAAGCATCTTCGGAAAGTAACGGCCGTGCACGGTACGCCGAGCGTGAGGACCGCCGTGAGGATTGGGTGATGGGGCGGTCCGTCCCGTTCGAAAGGACATGCACATCGGCACGTTGACGGAGGCACATTACTTATTGTTTCTACTAGCTTCTTGTTACTACTAGTAAGGCACTAGTTACTAGTAGCGATGCACTTGTTCCTAGTAGCTTATTTATTTTAATGTTTAATATCTTTTGCAAGATGCTTTAAAAGTTGGCCGATATTTTGGGGCGCAGTCAACCACTCGGTCCTCCTGCATTTGTGCGGAGCTCAAAAGCGATCGCCAATAGCCTAGATCGAACCACGAATGAAGCTCTTGACCGAAATGGGGAGATACAGGGGGGCATATATGGTAAAGGTACACATTTCTTGTTTCTACTAGCGATGGCCTCCAACCTAGTAGCGAAATTTACCATGTTCCGGTGTTTTGTAGAGACATTTGTCGGCCATTCGGAGGACCCCGTTCGTGAGTTGACCTACTATAAATGAACACCGACACAACTTCCCACTGCGGGACTTCTGTTGGTTTTGTTGGTGCTTCACAAAAAAAAACAATGTGTGATTGTTGTTGATGGTCAGCTACCCAAAGCTCACATTGAATTGTTTGTCACCACAAGGTTTAACTGCAGGGAGTGAGCAGCGCTAATCGAAGCCAAGTGACTTGAACCCTTTGGTGACAGTGCCATCCTATTGATACGACCACTCAGTGTGCAAGAAAGGAACATTTGGAGCACAGAATCTGGCAAGCCGCCGCCTTCGCATGCCTTCGCAGGAGATCAGGATATTTCGCGGAGATGCATCCGAAGAAGGACAAATACGGTCAAAATTGGTGCCTGTAGCATCCGAGCTGCTGGATGTGATCAGATCCCTGGTCCTTCATTGTGCAGTGCTGTTGCGCTGAAAAGTGGGGGATGTGTGCTTCTTCTGGCCGCAGAGCTGCTGAGGCCACAGAATGAGGCCGACATGAAGAGATGCAAACCCAATAAAGCCCCTCATTCAAGATCTAAACGATGAAGTTATGACCTCCATCCTCAACATGGAAACAAGAATCCTCTCCAAATTGATAGGACACCATTTCTATGTTTGAGACTCTTTAAGACGTGGGATTTGGAATCGCAATATAGATCTACCGGTGTTGGATTCAGATCTTCACACCGGTTGTCGCCGGGCTTCGCTGGGCTTCACCGGTCCCCAACACGCGCCTTCCTTCGTCGCCCCCTGACCCGTCGGTCGGGTCGCGTTGAGCGGTTTGAATGATGAGACCATGGTGACCGTTTTGAAACGATTGTTACTAGTAGCTTATTGTTTCTAATAGCTTCTTGTTACTACTAGTAAGGCACCTGTTACTACTAGCGATGCACTTGTTACTAGTAGCTTAAGTTTCCCTAAATTTAAAAAAACGGGACTCAAAGGGATGGCTCCGAATCGTAGCGATGCCCTAGACTACGAAGCGTAGCTTCTTGTTACCGGTAGCGATGCCAGGAGCTTGTGTTGCACCTTTCTGGATGTGCACCGGACCTCAAGGGGATGCGCCTAAATCTTTCGTGGACACCTTTTCGATCGAAAATTGAACACACCTGTTCCATCGATTGTTTAACAATTGGTAATACTTTCTAAAGTGGCCGTCTTCACAGCACAGCCAGTTCTGTTCTGTTCATTTCTGGACAAAATTCTCGGGTGCAGGTTGGAAAACATGTGTTTCTTCATCCGCCCTTTGTGTTTGAACCGCGCGGCGCCTATTAAAAGATTGATGCTGCGGTATTGGCTCGAGCACGAAGGCCGCGAGAGACGACAAGTTTTGGCCGTGTCGCCTGTGAATTCCAAAAGATGGGGCTTGGGCCCATCGCTTTCATCCTTTCTTTGCTGGCGCAAGACGTGTGGAGCATGCGCCAGGCGTGTTTGGGGAGTGGCAGCCGACCATGGGAAGGATCTTTGTGTCACCCATGGCATGTGGAATAGGAAGCCAACGAAGAACCAAAGAACCAGTCAGTTCTCCATTAAGAATCTCAGTGGCCGCTTTGGCACAACGGAACAAGTTTGTTTTGGGGGATTCCTGGCAATGTCCAAATACACATGGTCGATGGGAGGCTGAGCGTTCTTGACAATTGAACTTTCGCCCACAAGCAAAGCTAGCAGCTAGTCCGGGATCCAGGTATGTATGTAGAGCATTGTCGAGCTGTCAGAATGTGTTCGCTCTAACCACCAGATCTCCACCAAACATCTGTTTCCCATCCGTCAGAGCATCCCAAGGTCGGTAGAAATGGATTCCTTTTTACGACCATGAGCCCGAGGTCGTCGAATCGTCCAGTCGTGGGCGTCCCGTCCCGATGTGTTTCGTCGCTCCGTTGGAAACCTGAGTGCTCTATATGACTCATATGGCGAAACATTTGGCATCTCTACAGAATCCAGCCACACAGTGCTCTTCACTCAAGTCTGGCACGGTTTGAGTGTTCTTCACTCGAACTTATTTGAGTCGAGTCCAGTTCAGGGTCTCGCGAACGAAGCATAAGATGTTGAAGGTTGGTCGTTGCCCTCCCAATCTTCTCATACTTTGTCATCTAAGCAGGTTGTACGCCATCGCCACTAGGGTGGAGGCCATCGCTCTTAGGTTGGAGGCCATAGCTCTTAGGCTGGAGGCCATCGCTCTTAGGTTAGCGGCCATCGCTCTTAGGTCGGAGGCCATTGCTCTTAGGTTGGAGACCATCACTCTTAGCTTTGAGGCCATCGCTCCTAGGTTGGAGGCCATCGCTCTTAGGTTGGAGGCCATCGCTCTTAGGTTAGAGGCCATCGCTCTTAGGTCGGAGGCCATTGCTCTTAGGTTGGAGACCATCCCTCTTAGGTTTGAGGCCATCGCTCCTAGGTTGGAGGCCATCGCTCTTAGGTTGGAGGCCATGGCTCTTAGGTGGGAGGCCATTGCTCTTAGGTTGGAGACCATCCCTCTTAGGTTTGAGGCCATCGCTCCTAGGTTGGAGGCCTTTGCTCTTAGGTTGGAGGCCATCGCCACTAGGGTGGAGGCCATCGCTCTTAGGTTGGAGGCCATAGCTCTTAGGCTGGAGGCCATCGCTCTTAGGTTGGAGACCATCCCTCTTAGGTTTGAGGCCATCGCTCTTAGGTTGGAGGCCATCGCTCTTAGGTTGGAGGCCATCGCTCTTAGGTTGGAGGCCATCGCTCTTAGGTTGGAGACCATCCCTCTTAGGTTGGAGGCCATCGCTCTTAGGTTAGAGGCCATCGCTCTTAGGTCGGAGGCCATTGCTCTTAGGTTGGAGACCATCCGTCTCAGGTTTGAGGCCATCGCTCCTAGGTTGGAGGCCTTTGCTCTTAGGTTGGAGGCCATTGCTCTTCGGTGGGAGGCCATTGCTCTTAGGTTGGAGACCATCCCTCTTAGGTTGGAGGCCATCGCTCCTAGGTTGGAGGCCATCGCTCTTTGGTTGGAGGCCATCGCTCTTAGGTTGGAGGCCATTGCTCTTAGGTTGGAGACCATCCTCTTTGGTTGGAGGCCATCGCTCCTAGGTTGGAGGCCATCGCTCTTAGGTTAGAGGCCATCGCTCTTAGGTCGGAGGCCATTGCTCTTAGGTTGGAGACCATCCCTCTTAGGTTTGAGGCCATCGCTCCTAGGTTGGAGGCCTTTGCTCTTAGACTCTGGGTCTGAGGCCATCGCTCCTAGGTTTGGAGGCAGCACAGACACGCTCGCTGCGTCCGCACAGGCCAGCAATGCCACTGGTGGCTGCGATTCGTTGTTTGGGCGCAAATGTTGCAGTTCCAGGTGCAACGGGATACGGGATGGTTCTCACAAGGACTCTGGCGTGGAGAATCTCGAGTTGTATGAGTGCATTGTGACGGAGGGAGCCAGTGGCAAGCCCATGCCCAGCTACGGAGCCTACGAAGCTTGAGAAGAAGAAATGATGGTCCCTTTTTTGTTTAGCTCGCTCCCCCCCTGCCTACTTAATTGAGTAGAGACTACCTACTTAAGTAAGGGAGAGGTAGCTAGTACCTTACTAGTACGCTACTAGCATGGACGCCATTTGGGCTCGCTTTGTTCCAATCACCCGCGGTCCGTGGCCCAAGGATTGGGACGAGAAGCCGGTCACCTCCAAGCAGTTGAACGATTGGATTGCTGGTTATCGTGGCTACCGGACCGGATGAACGATCGGAAACACGACTCTTGAGGTTCCAGTGGTAGCTCCCAAGTGGCAAAAGGAAGCAATTTAGCGTCCTTACTACTAACGTAACTTCTTGTCACTAGTAGTAATGGCCTCCAACCCAATAGCAATGGCCTCCAACCTACAAGCGATGGCCACCCAAGTCTTTCCAAAAGCCCCCCTTGAATGCACGATGGTCAACTGCCAGAACGCTACGAACGGGGCTCCTGGCCTTACTAGGAGCATTTTAACTAATAGAATTATATAACCTAGTAGCTTCTTGCTCCTAGTAGTAAGGCCAGGAGCCCCTAGTACTAGTAGCGATGCCCTCTGCTCCTAGTAGCGTTCTTGTTACTGCTAGTAAGGCACTTGTTACTAGTAGCGATGCACTTGTTTCTACTAGCTTCTTGTTACTACTAACCATGATAGACATGGGATGTCTTACGACTGCGACATGATGCGCCACTGCCGCTTCCCCCATGTTCGTTTGCGCTTGCCACTCCGCCGCCGGCCGCCTCATGCCGCCGGGATCACCAGGACTGCCGGGATTGAGTATTCAGACTATGTTTGTGACTTGGAAGACTTGTGTTTGGCTGGCAAACGCCTCCCTGCAAGGTCCTCATGGTTTCGTGGAGGGGAAAGAACTGTTTGGTCTTCGGATTTCATGGTCTTTCCAAAAGGCTAGGACGACCACTGAGACAGGCTTCGATGAGATAGCAGGGAGGTCCTTAGGTCGTCCTGGCCTGCTGCGACAAGGCTTAAAGCGTTGAAGCATGTTGAAGCATAAACATTGGACGGGTCCTGAGCTCTTGAAGCGTTGTTTTGCATGTTTCTTTTGTACCATCTCTCGCTGGGTACACTATTCCGCATCTACTGATAAAGTTACTGATACAATGTTATAAGTAGTGTATGTAGCTCATAACCTACTTGCACCCTGTTTTGATGGTTGAAGATTGTTAATATATTTGAAATAATGTGAAATAGTTTTCTGGAAAATCTAGTTGCGCTAGTTGTGCCTTCCTCTTCTTCCTCTCCTCCTCTCCCGCTGCTCTCAGCCAAGGTCAAGAGACCTGTCGCTATGTCACCAAAGGTGAGCCTAAAGATCCAAGCCCCAGCGACGGGCGCGACAAGGTCAAGGTCTATCGCGCCGGCGGGGTTGAGCCAGAACGGGGTGAACTCGCCCTGTGTGCGGCTCGGCTCAGCAATGCTTGGCGTGGTGTTTGGACATTGCTCTTGGGTTGGAGGCCATCGCTAGTAGGTTGGATCGCTATTCGTGCGTACCCTGAGCATAGTGAGTGGATTATAGTGGATTGATTGATGAGAAACCTTGTGAGTGGTCCTGAAGCTGGCAAATGATCCTTACAGCATAACGATATAGTACTTAACAATCGGTCAGTTGAGTGAAATCTCGCAATCGATCGATTATTCTGCAAACGAACAATCTTGTTGAGGCCGACCGAGGCCGTGCTAGCTGGCCAACTACCCCTACAGAAAGGCCATCAATGGTTCGAAAGAATAAGTGGATAGGCTTAGAAATCCCGGTGCCCTCTTTGCTCCTAGTAGCAAACATTGCTTCTAGTAGTAAGGCCAGGAGCCCCTAGTAGCGTCTTTGCTCCTAGTAGCGCAACTGGAATCCCCATGGATGGAAAATCCTGAAGCACAAACTCAGGGTGAATGTTTTTACGCGTCTCTTTTGCCCATGCTCTTGCTAGCCTCTTTTCGGGTTCGACCTGAATGAATGGAAGGAGGGTCCGAAGCAAGACCCATTGAAAACCCAAAACGCAGCGATGTCTCTCTGGTTTGGTTTTTTGTGTTTCTTTTCTGCCCAACGCAAGAATCCCTCAGACTGATTCTCGTGAGGTCAGCAAAGGCGAGAAGCAATCATCGGACAAAGAGGCCCAAACAGAGTGAGTGGGTTGTCCCAAACAGAGGTCCACCTTCCCGTGCACTCGGAAGAACCCGTCTTGGAAAACTAGTCCTGGACTGGGCCAGTTGACCATCGAAATGTGGAGTTGGAGTCGAAGTGGAACCACGAACAGGCCCTTACTACTACCTAGGGAAACAAGATACCAAGAAAACGTAGTACATTAGAAAAAGACGATCTTTTTTAGGAAAAGACGATGTTTTCCAAAATGTGTGTTTTGGATCTGACAGCACGCACCTGAATTTCGGACACAAGTCACCAAATGTCGACCTCACCAAGAACACTTTTCACCCGGAACGAGAGTGAGCCTTCAACATGCAGCTACGAGCCTAAGAACTGACAAATGGCATCTGGTTGTCAGGGATGCAAAAAGGCCATATTCTTAGTACGGTTTAGTATGGGTTAGTACGGGTTCCGTACGGGTTAAATATGGGTTCTCAAAACACAATGTTTTTTTTGGGCAGATCGAAAATACGGGTTCCGTATGGGTTAGTACGGTTTAAGTACGGGCTCCGTACGGGATAAATACGGTGTCTTATGTTTTCAGTGAAGGCGCCCTCCAAATCCACAAAAAGGCTATTTAATTTAAGATGACCAACACAGATGGAAGAATCGGAAGAATGCTCGACATTTGGTGACTTGCGGATCCATTAAGGTCCCACGGCACTCACCTGAAAGCAAGATTCGGGAGACAGGTGTTTGTTTATGGTAGCCGGAGCTATTCTTCAGTGGTTTTACCAAAAAGACGATCTTTTTCGAGAAAAGACAATGTTTTCCATCTCTTCCCTAGAAAAAGCGATGTTTCATCCAGGAGCCTACAAATTGTTAGTGTTTTGCTTCTCTAGGTAGGAGCAAGGACACTATTAGGGGCTCCTGGCATCGCTACAAGGACGCTACGTTTGGGGCTCCTGGCCTTACTACGAACGGAGCGTTCGGACGCTACGTTTGGGGCGCCCCTGGGCCTCTTCGTCGGTTGCTCGAAGAGGCGGTTTGGTGCTTGCCGCGACGACCGCGCGGACGGGGCGTCGGTTGCTGGGAGGAGAAGATGCGGGATGGACTGGATGCCATTCGCCAGGCAGGAAAGCGACGGAGAAAGCGACAGAGAAAGCGAAAGTAGCAAAGTATACGTGCGTTTCGATCTTAACCGAGTTGTTTCTTTAGACCTTCATATATCAACTATGTTTTTTAGACCATTTTCGTTGTCTTTAGAAGAAAGTTGCTTGGGCGGCGCGTCCAGCCGAAATTAATTCTCCGAATGGATCTCTTCATCTCCAAATCGTTCAACTCGATTTTGTGACACCAACAAGCAAGTGCGATCCACCCTGCTAGCGATGGCCTCCAGCAGCGATGGCCTCCAGCCTAGCAGCGAAGTGCGAGGCGTTTTGAATTTGTTGGATTCGCAGAGTGAAAGTTCTCCACTGTCCGGTTGGAAGTTCGTGGATTCAGCGGTCTGCAGATCCCGGCATGCTTCATCGGACAAACCTCTCCGCCAAACAACTACCTTGAAGGTCAACCACCTCAAAATCATCTTTCCATTGGTGTTACTGTCACTGGCTCCAAAGATTTTTTCCAGGTCCAACGACTTTCAAGAGTTAACTGTTGAACTGTTGAATCTGACTTTGCGAGGTTCCCGATCGGTGGGTAGATCACCGGTACAAGACCAGGTGGTTGGTGGCTGGATCACAAGGATGTTTTTGGTCGTATGCTGCATGTCTTTTTCCGGGCGCTGGTTTCGTCGCTCCGCCTGGTTTCGTGGTCAGCGGCAGGCGCAGCAGGACTGGGAGGTCGCGGGCTTGGCTGATGGATGTGGTGTTACGCTCACTGAGAAAAGTCTTGAAAGCTAACATGAATCCCCAAAGTCACTGTTTTGGTTCAAGGTTGAGGAACAATTGTCAAGAATGTGCAGACCATTTTGAAGGCCTACCGGGCCTAATGTACTGATCACATCCGCACATCGGTGTAGAGCATTTTTCGCTTCTACGGCTTTTTCCATGGGGTTGGAGGCCATTCCCATCAGGTTGGAGGCCATCGCTAGTAATTAGGTTGGAGGCCATCACTCTTAGGTTGAAAGTAGCTATTAGGAACTAAGTGCATCGCTTCTAGTAACAAGTGCCTTACTAGTAACAAGAACGCTACGAACGGGGCTCCTGGGCTAGCTAGGTAGAGGAAAGGCCATTGCTAGCAGGTTGGAGCCGGTGTTCCTGACCGGACATGGTGTTCGGACCCGACAGACCCGACCCCTCTGGCGGTGGCACCGGTGGCAACGGTGGCAGCGGAGATAGAGCAGTGATGGCCTCCACCCTACTAGCGTCGTTGTTCCTAGTAGCGATGCCAGGAGCCCCAAACGTAGCGTCCTTGCTACTACTAGCGATGGCCTCCACCCTAGCAAACCACGGGACCGGAGATGGACGGAGATGTTGTCACAGGGGATCAGCTCACGTCGAGACCTGGTGGAAAACAACCCGTAAACGCCCGAGTGTCCGAAGGGATCGCACCCTCTTCACCTTTGAACGGATTTGGTTCCTCAGCTCCCTCCACCAATAGCCAGTTTGTTCCAACGGATCTTCTCCAACGGCCCGTACGTACTGGTCCATCACTAGTAGGAGCAAGGGACGCTACGAACGGAACAAGACGGGCATCGCTACGAACGAAGCAACGACACACATCGCTACGGAGGGTGGAGGCCACGACACTGGTTTTCCACACACACCCGAGGCGCGGAGGACTGTGACAGAGCCGATCGAGCAGGACTGTGACAAAGCCAAAGGCCGATCGTGTTGGGTCGGTGGAAACCACTTCCACTCCTAAGAATCTCCCAGGAGCTCCGTCCCAGGAGCCTTGTTACTAAGGCCAGGAGCCCTTAGTAGTTTCAAGCTTCTTGTTTTAATTCTATGTTCTATTAGCTTCTTGCTCCTAGTAGCGATGCCCTTTGTTCCTAGTAGCGTCCTTGCTCCTAGTAAGGCCAGGAGCGCCCCGTTCCTAGCGTCGCTCCGATCGTAGCGATGCCCGTCTTGTGACGTTCGTAGCATTCTTGCTACTAGTAATGCCAAGGAGAAGGTCTTAAAGGGTTTTGTTTTGAGGGATTGATCTGGTTAGAGCTTTGCAAAGGCGGATAGTACACCGACGAAGATCGTTGCAATCAGAAAACGGGTTGGAGATAGAGTAGTCATGGCCTCCACCCTACTAGCGTCGTTGCTCCTAGTAGCGATGCCAGGAGCCCCTAGTAGCGTCCTTGCAACTACTAGCGATGTCCTATCTTTTTCTTTGTTCCTTTAGACCTTGAGACCGATCCTTTGTTCTTATTGTTTTGTTTTGGAGGCCATCGCTAGTAGGTTGGAGGCCATTCCTTCTGTAGAATCCTGTTGACCTGTGTTCCTTTCTCTGATTCTTTTTGGACCTTTAGACCTTTATTTAGACCTTTAGACAGTGTCTTTTTGGTTGTCACGAAAGCTAGCGAAGCTAGCTGGAGTTACTCTTGCGATAGCAAGGTTTCTTTCGACCGGGTGCAAATCCTAACCCCTGATTTTTCAGGTCGAACCCCCCCCCCCCCTCCCCACCTTCCCTCCCTTCCTCCCTCCTCCCTCTTCGCAAGTTCGACTCCGTCCTGTCGTCGCTCTTTGGCATGCGGTTAGCGTTGCGTATCTTGCGGCCGCACTCGCTCACTCTCACTGTCTCACTGTCTCTCTCTCTCTCTCTCTCATCTCTCTCATCTCTTTCTCATCTCTCTCATCTCTCCCTCCTCTCTCTCTCTCTCTCTCCTCTCTGTCTCTCGTCTTTCCGTCTCTCTTCTCTTTCTTCTCTCGCAGGAGGATCCGGGCAAAGTGCCACATATAAAGGACTCTTCACCCCTGCCTGCAAAAAGAGCGCCGTGTTTTTTCGTACCTCGCTGCCCTCCACTTTCCCATTCTGGAGCGCTAGCTTTCGCACCCCCCCCTTGGCCTCAAGTGCTACTCGTGGTCCAAACTCAAGCAGTGGTAACAAACCGTCGAACAATCGCCTTTGCTTTGAATTGTTTCTTTATGTTCGGATCTATGAGAGCTACTAGTAACAAGTGCCTTACTAGTAGTAACAAGAAGCTAGTAGAAACAAGAATTAGAATTAAATTAGAATTAAACTATTATTATTGTTAAACTTAAACTTAATTCTACTAGCTTCTTGTTCGGATCTATGAGAGCAGGATCTCAGCAATCGAGAGGCCCCGCGTTGGTCGGAGGTCCTATGGCCCTACGGGAAGGAGGTCACTTCAAACGATGTCTAGTAGATGGTGCAACTGCTAGATGGCCTCCAACCTAATAGCAATGGCCTCCAACCTAATAGCGATGGCCTCCAACCTACGAGCGATGGC